CGAGTCTGGTAAAGAAATTTTATTATTGATAGTGTTCTATGGATAAATAAGTGTCACCTCCAGCCTTTAGCCCAGGCACCAGGACATGGTTTTTCSTGACAGATTTACCCCTCTCAGAAAATGGATTTCAGCCTCTGTCTAGTAATAAAATGCAACACATCTACTTATTCCATGTTCAATGCCTGTCTCTAAAAATCTCCCTTTTCTTTTCTTCTTCTTCTAAAGTCCTGTTAGGATAGTGCTGTCCTGCAGGACACAATGAGGAAATAACATGGCTAAAGAACTGCATGGAATATCTGTGCATCAGTTACTAATCTGTTCTGGATGGATGGACTTAGAAGTTATCTTAGTGACTAACCACTGGAAAATCCTGTGATATGGAAGCTCATGCATTTTTTTTTGTAGCCACAGCTGCAGTCATTTCCCTTCAGAGACACATCATTTCCCCAAGACRCATCCTGTCTCAGAGGGCCACGGTGTCTCTGCTCCAAGCTGCTGTCCCCTTTCGCAGTAGCCAGCACATGGGTGGAGATTTCCTTCCTAGTTTCTTCTCCTGAAAAGCTTCATCTCCAGCCCCAGCTTGAGAAATGGATTGAATCTTGACCTCTTGCATAAACATTGTCTCTGCATGCCAAAGGGAGCCTTAGTGAGAACCAGAGCCCCTGTCTAGACATGTTTCTTCATCCCAGGACTCTGATAGGTTTGTCCTCCACTGCTGGGTTAACTCTCTTTGTCTCTGAGCAGCAGCAATGACAGAGTAAAAACAGATATTTAAGCATGTGCATCTCAGTGCTTTAATGTAGTTTGTTCCATTCACCAGCAACATAAATAATGCCCCAGTCTGGCAATTTTTATAATCTGCAAGGAGAAAAGAAGGAATCTTATACAAAATGAAATTTTCYGTTCCTCATCTTCATTCCTGAAATGCAGAAGCACTTTATACATGACTGCAGTAAGGTTTGATCCTTTTGTACAGAAGAGTGGCAGAGAAGGTGACAGAAAACCTCACAGAGGACAGCAAAACCTCCTCTTTCTTCCTCTTGGAAAATTCAAGAAATCAAAGCCCTTTTTTTGTGCAGCCATGGAACAGAAGAAAATTTTGTATTTCTAAATACTTCTTCAAAAGTTTCACTCATATGATACCAACTATTATATTTTTTTTCTCCTTATGGGTTGTTCAACATCCCTGTCTGTGTCCTAAAGATAGGGTTGATAAAGACTTTGCCCCTTCTCTATACATTTCCTCCAGTCCTTTAGAGGGTGCCTCAGCCTTAGTGAAGCTCTGGCTGAAGAAGGCTGGATGGAATTCCCAAGTCCAGCAGTAAGGCTGTCATCCAAAAGTGATCTGCAGGGTGATGTGAGACCCTCCCATCCCTCCGGATCCCGGGGAGCTACCTCATCCTGAAAGGATGTGTTGTTCAGTGATACAGCCCCAAGTGAACACAGGGCTCCTGTCAGCAGCACTGCTGAGATTTGCTTGCCCYTCTCACAGGATCAGCCCTGCACAGAGTGAAACCTCCTGGAATGGAACTGCATAAAGACACAATTTGCTGTGAACTCTTGGCTTCTGCGACAGAAAGCACGGTCAGTGAGACATTGGTTCTGTTAACCTGAGAATATCTTGAGAAATTGGGAGACAGTGCTGGCTCAAGAATCTGGATCACAACGTTGCAGTGGATTCCTTGGTTGGGAAAGCAGCAATTCCAACCATCAGGGACCGTCAGCATCTTTGGTCCCCTACACTGCTGCAGCCCCTGGTGCTCTGCCAGKCTTCCCTTCACCTCCTCACTGCAGAGCTCACACTGCTCCTTCATGGAGCTGCTCATCTTAAATCCTGCTTGGCAGTTCTACTCAGTGAAGAGAAAAACAATGAGTAAAAACCCCCCATTTCCCTACAGAATTGGGAGATAGGGTGGGACACAAACACCAAGGCACAGCGATGGTGCCCTGGCACAGAGAGAAGGGAGGCAGCAGCACACCCTCTGTGTGTCCAAGGGCAGSCTGATCCAGATCCTTCTACCAAAATTAGTCATGAGAGAACCTGGTCCTGACCTAACAGAGACACAGCCCTGCCTGCCAGGCTGATGGGAGCTGGAGCYCCTCTCCTCTCACCCTGTTAAATACACACCTGCTCTATAGGACATTCCCATGTGTCACTAATGTGTTTTGGATGTTTTAGTCAAAATGCTCAACTCACATTGGTTGTTTAAAAGTAAATAAATAAAATTGAATATGCCACATTTTAAAGAAAAATGCACAGCAGTAGCAGCCATCCTGCAGACAGTACATTTTATATGGTGATCCAAATGCACAGACTGTCAGTTAATGCTCTAGTACTTGCAATATATCACAGTATTTTCACTGAAAGGTGAGCAGCATGTCCAAAAATCTTAGAAAAATTTATAGTTCAGCAAGTCGYTTTCTGAAAAGCCGTATGAAACCAAGTATGCTTCATGACCTTTAAAAACCACTTTTAATGAAAGCATTAAAATGTTCATATAACTACTGAACAATGAAATACTGTATTTAATCCCAATGGGGGTTTTTTAAATATTGGCATTTCAGTTAATGTCTGAGACACTAGTTATCCATTACAAAAAATCATGTAGAAAGAATCCTATGTTTAATATAATATTAAATACTTTTGTCAAACTATTTCAGAAGTATTGAATGTTGGTTCCAAAGYGCACTACAAGACCCCAGAAATGAACAATCATCACATTAGGAAAAATCTAGAATAATCTAGAAACATGTTAAGTATGTGAAAAGTAGCTTTATATTTTGCTTTTCTGTTCAGTTTAGCACCAGCCAGGTAATGTTGCAATATTTGCAAACCATCAGCCATTTTCTTTATATACTTGATTTGAGAAAAGGATAATGACCTGGCTATGTGAATTTGTAACAGATTGGAACTTTAATAGTATGACTAGCATGACCTTCAATTACAAAGGCTGATTTTTCTTCCTTTTTTTTTTTTTTTTTTAATACAGGAATCAGGACACCTGGAATGTCTTTGGGGCGTGTGTGAATTTACATAACCATTACAAAGTAACTTTTTAACTGTTGCAGTGCAATATAAGGCCATAAAATCATAGACATATTGTGCCYCTGTTTTGCAGTAAATGAAGTTTAGACTTTGTTTCAAATTCTCTTCTTTTTGAAGTAGTGGCGAAGGATTGAATCAATGCTTTCTCTTGTGCTCTGTGCTGTGAAGGAGGTTGGTGTCTAACATTTGCTAGTTTTGTGTTAAACAGCTGATGGCACAGGCAACAGGCACAGCCCTGGCCAAGGAAGGTCCTGATCCCAGGACTCCTCTGCTCCCCGTTGAAGTGACACTGGAACAGCAGTGCCACCACTGCAGGAAGCATTGGAAATTTCCACCTGGAAGAACCCGGCACTTAAAACACCTTGGGAGGAAGAAGTGAATCCACACATTTTATGGGAAGAAAGCTTTGAGAACCACAAAGCTTAAAAAAAGCAGCTGCATGGCCCAGGCTTGAATTAACGAAGCTCAAGCTCTAAGCTCTGTCAGGATGGGACCACTCCAGACGCGGTTACATTTCGGCTCTGTGCAGCTGCAGAGAGGGAACTTCCCGGGCTGTGAAAAAGCCACATTATGAACTCAGCAAAACACAGGTCACCTTCTCATCCCACGCTGGGGTCCTGATCCATAGCTGGATCCTCATCTCTGAGTACCCACATGATGATATTCCACAGGTTACCTCAGCAGGAAGAAGCCAGAGCAGTGACATGACCAACGAGTGGAGTATTAGTAAGGTTGTTAGTAAGAGTAGGTGTGTGGTGTATTAGCTCAGCATTCTAAGGTAACCCTGACTGTGGCAACCTTGGTATTTTTCCTGGCAACTCTTCCACCTTGATACCCCTCTGGCCCTGCAGGAAGCTGCCCCTGACTTCGATGGAGCACCCCTCAAGGGAAATGTATTGCAGTGCTGGGAAAACTCTGGAAAGAGTCACCTTTCCTGCAGGGWGGGAGTTAAATTAGGCCACGTCGCATGGATGCAAGGCATTTGTATTTTTTTTTMWTTTATTTTATTATTATTCTGAGAATGGCAGTTCACAGAACCCGACTGCTGATTTCTACACAGTGCAGATAAGAACTGAATTGGTCCAAAGTTTAACAGTTTCCAGGGCTGGTGTGTCACACCCTGTCCGTGGGGAATACTGCCCTGGATCAGAGGCACTCCTGAGTGCGACCACACATATCAGCCAATTCTCCTGCCATGTCTTCTCCYATTTGTACCCTTGATTTTTCCCTTCTAACTCCCCACACAACTTCTCTGTCATCCTCTYCTCTCCACCTTGGCCATTCCCTTGCATTCTTCCCGACCCTTCTTCCCAGGACACGGCCATTCTCCACATCCTTCCCGATCCCCATCTCCCTCAGAACACCGCCATTCTCCTACCCTTCCCGATCCCCCTCAGAACATCTCCCTCAGAACACGGCCATTCTCCCATAGTTCCCGATCCCCATCTCCCCCAGAACACGGCCATTCCCGATCCCCATCTCCTCAGAACACGGCCATTCCCGATCCCCATCTCCTCAGAACACGGCCATTCCCGATCCCCATCTCCTCAGAACACGGCCATTCCCCCCGCACCGTTCCCGATCCCACCTCCCTCAGAACACGGCCATCCCCCATGGTTCCCGATCCCATCTCCCTCAGAACACGGCCATTCCCGATCCCATCTCCTCAGAACACGGCCATTCCCGATCCCATCTCCTCAGAACACGGCCATTCCCGATCCCATCTCCTCAGAACACGGCCATTCCCGATCCCCATCTCCTCAGAACACGGCCATTCCCGATCCCATCTCCTCAGAACACGGCCATTCCCCCACTGTCGTTCCCGATCCCATCTCCCCTAGAACACGGCCATTCCCCCGTTTTCCCCGGCCGGCACACCGCCGCCGCCGCCGCCACCTGACGCCGTTCCCCCCCCAGGCTCCGGGCCCGAGGCGGGGCGCGGGGGGCGGGCAGGGCCTCCCCGGGGCAGGAGGGAGGGACGGAGCAGAGGAGCCGAGCCGAGCCCGCCGCCAGTCCTTCCGTCCGTGCGGCTCCGTCCCGGCTTTGTTGTGCTCGGGYCCGGGGGCGGGGAAGCGGAGGGAAGCGGAGGGAAGCGGGGAAGGCTCCGCTCCTCCTCCGCGGCCCCGGCCCCGCTCATGGCGACGCTGGGCACATCCGGGCCTCTCCTCCTTCTCCTCCTCCTCCGGCGGCCGCCGCTGCCCTGAGCGCCCGGCCCGGCTCCATTCGCGCCTCCCCCGAGCCCTTGGCGGAGCAGCGGCGGGGGAGCCCCGGCCGGGGCCATGTCCAACCCGGGGGCCCGGCGGAACGGGCCCGTCAAGCTGCGGCTGACAGGTGAGGCTGGGCCGGGGGCGCGGGGCCAGCCCGGCCGGGGGGCGGGAGCGGCTCCTCCGGGTGTCGTTGAGGTTGAACCTGGGGCCGGAGCGGCCCCTCAGGCCTCGCAGGGAAGGGGAGGCGAGGTTTCCCTTCCTTCGGTTCCCCTCGGCCTCGGGCTCGGCGTGTCCGGGCTCCGCCGCCCGCCCGGCCCGGGCCCCGCAGYCGCCTGGGCGAACTTCAACCACCGCACCCCAACTTTGGGGTTCATTTTCCCTTCGTTTTCTCGGTGGAAACTCGAAAGAAACTGTCACACTCTGTGYTTTGATCTCTTTGTTTGTTTATTGTTGTTGTTTAGTTGGATTTTCAAAGCGATTTTCTCAGCTAAGACTGTTGGGCACTGGAGAGGCTCCCCAGGGCAGTGGTCACAGCCCCAAGGCTGCCAGAGCTTAGAGAGTCTTTGCACAACGCTCCCAGGGACAGGGAGGGATTTTGGGGTGTCCTGTGCAGCCTCGATGATCCTCATGGGTCCCTTCCAACCCRGCATATTCCACGATTCTRTGATTGTTCACAGTTCTTGGRTGAAGTGCCTTGAGCTGCCCTCCTCCAGAAGACCACTTGACCTCTGGTATTTTAAAATACCATAAAAACGGTTCACCTGCATGCTGGGAAGGGAAACAGTCTGGTTTAAAATACTTAAAACTATATCCTTTTCCGTATAACAACCCAGGTAGATATGTTTAGAGGAARAAAGTATTGGAAGTTCTGCTAGAGCTTTCTTAAAAAAAATTACAGGACACTTTGAACTAGCTCTTTTCTTCAAAGCATTGTAAGTCCTCCAGCACATAAATGATCTTGTGAGTCCTGAAGCATCAGTACWGGAAGGTAAGCTATTAGAAAAKAATCGCTTTTCACTCTAAATACTCATCTCTACATGTAGTGTACCCAACTAGCTTGAAAAAKAAATGTTTTAAGAAATGTTAAAAGAGTTGTTACATKTACTTTAGGTGCATGAGAAATATCTCCAGTTTAATGCCTAATAAAGAGAGATGTTTTCATACTGATTTTTCCAACGATGTTATTTTTACAGGAAAAGTAAAATGTATCTGCTTATGTTTTACTTTGGAAATACTCGGACTAGATTTGTAATCTAGTTTTCATGGAGATTTGTATGTGTCTCTATATTACACTTGGAAATAGAACTCCTAAAATGAGCGTAGCTGGGACTGCTACATGGAACAGTGCTGCCTTGTTTTTACAGAGTGTTTTGTAGCTTTCTCCTCAGGTTATTGCTGTGTTGATGCAGTGCTTTAATACTTTCTTCCCTGAGCAATTAGTGCTCAGACTTGCTTATCTTTGAAACATTAAAAATGGTCTGTGGCCTTATTTGAAAGCATGGAAAATACTGTCTAGGGAGTTGTCTTTCTCACCTCTGTGTTTTGTGTTCAAATTTGTTTAATATTTTATTTTTATTGAGGATTAAGCATATCATGAAATCGTGCCTGTGACAATATCAGTGTGTTGAGGGAAGTGTGATTGTGACYAGGCTCAAACAGGCTGTGGTTTTACACACTATGGTCAGCCCCCAAATGCAGCAGGTACAACCTTAAAGAATGTGTTTGGGGTTTTTTGTCATCTCATATTTTAGGCAGGGAATGTGCAGAGCATGGGATGAAGACAAAATTGTCTTTTTCGGACTGTTCCAGGGCTAGCTGCTCTTGCAGTCACTGAGTACCAGTTCTGATATAGGAACATTGATCTGTTTCTCCAGTATTTTCTGCTTTAGGTAATTGTGAGTTGTTTCACATTTGTTGTAGGGAAGCTTTACATGTTTAAGGAAAACATTGAATTTTAATAATTCAGCTGACATGTTGTCAGTTCTTGCCTAGGAATARTTTTAAGTGTTCTGTGTGGTTTTGATTACCCTTTTTGATTGGAAAAGCAGTTTGAGGGCTCTTGAGTTCTGAAACTGTTTGGWATTAGAAGAATCTGTATATCCAGTGTTTTTAAGAGTTTATTCTCGAACTGACAAATGCTATTTAATCTTAATTTTCTTTGGCTCTATGAAACTAGCAGTCTTCTGTTTTGGCTTGAATGTTTATAGGATTAATTCTGCAATCATTGTTCAGTGCTTATCTTTTCTGTTCATTATCTCTAAATTAGATGGTATAGATTAAAAAATGGATTTCAAGAACTGGATTCAATTAGCAGTTTTTCAGGACATAAACATTAAAGGTTTAGATGGAAAACATTGTTTTGACTGACTGGATAAATGACAGGGTAATGTTTGATGTGAGTCCAAGAACTGATCTGGAGCTAGTGCCCAACTTCTCAGTCCATCTTGAGGAGCCAAATAAAATATTTAACCTAGGCCTCATTTTGCAAAAAAGGTTGACTCTTTGTTGGGACCTTAAGAAAGTTCTGAGAAATGTTTGGCATACCTTTACACTAAGTGTTTAACAGTTTATTTAGGTCTGGGTTCCATAACAGAGACAAACCACAGCGGTGGCATACTTCTAGTAAGTTTTTATTTAGTTTGCAGTGCATCTGTGTTATACATTTATTATAAAAGGTTATTCTTTTGCTCCAAGGTTTATCTGTTTGTTGCCAATGCCATTTGATTCTTTGGTGAAACATATGTTGATATGTTTCGGACAATTTTGGGCTAGAAAACCTCTGGATAATTGTTAAAATCCAAGTTTTATAGCTACTGATGATAAATGTAGCAGGAGGTRTAAATCCTTGTTTCTGATTAAAATGTAGGCAGTGTAATTTAAATCAGCTAAAATCTAGAATTGCACTAGTCTTCTGCAGAATTTATCTTAGCAGCTTGTGATAACAATGTCCAGGGAAGTGTAAGGAAAGTTTCTTCAACTCTCACATATTTACCACCATTTGATCTAGTCCTGTCCTGAGTACGTCCGAGTTCTACCAAAGCTGCAAGTGCAGTTGTCCCCTTCCATTCTTGGTGTGATTTTTCTCAGTGTTGTGCTGAATTTAGGGATTTGTAAATACACTTCATGGTTGGACAGAATGTGCTATGATKTCTTCCACCCCTGTGTTGAACTGTGTTGATCTTACATTCTTCAGAAAACTGGGCAATGACCACTGCTTTCAGTAAATATTTTATGTCCTAATTTGTGAATTATCTAGGGTTGAAATAGCTRTATTTGACTGCTTTCACTTAGGAGATCAGTGACAGCTCTCTGAAGCCCATTACACTGTTTTGTCAAGGAGATAATTTCTAAAATCAACTTGAAGTCTGCAAAACTATGTGAGTATTAGAATATATTGAGTCAAGATTTAATGCAGAAGTTTATTTGGTTCATGTGTTGCAGGTAGTGTTTGTCTCAGAACTGTTAACAAGTAGAGAAACTTCCATAGCCACAAAGCACAGTTACACTGGGCTGGAAAAAGTGGTAATAAATATCCCACGGATAAAACTGGAATGAGCTGGAAGTTTTGCTGGTGCAGAATCAGATGTAGGCCTGAGGAGTTGTTGGATTTGTTTTTCCTMCTTCTTAATGCTTCCAGCTTTCCTGCAGGGTTTGCTGATTAGGGAAATAAAAGCACTGGGTGTTGTGTTGTGGAAAATGGATCAGCATCTCATGTGCTGTCCCTCTCTCTCCTCTCTTGCTGCTTTACTGTTTGTACAACCCTCACAATAAAAAGGTGGGATTGTACTGTAAAGTTAGTGTTGAAGGAAGAAAGTGCTACTGTTTTATCAGACCATAAAAACTCCTGTTGGGATGTTCATAATATTTCTCGAGAAACAGGTATATTATTTAGAAAAAGCCAGAGTATTCCTGAGCTTTGCAAAACAATGTGGAATCTTCAAACTTGTTTATTGCAGTGGATAAATACGAGTGTTAAATTAATACAGTTGAAGACAGTGGTTAACCTGAATTCTAAATTTTCCATCAGCAGTGGTGGAAGAAGGACTGAAGTTTATGAGTAGCAGAGCCTCCCTGTGGGAACATCATTCTGATCAATCAATTGATAAAGTAGCTCCCTGTATTTTTCTGCAGCAAGGCAGTGGTTTTAGAGTTGACTGAAATCGTAGTGCCATTTTAGGTCAGTTTAAAATCTGAGTGCTGTTTCTTTTTTCTCTTTGTAGTCCCTGGCTTCACTTTCTGGGCCCTCCCTTGTATTGACTCCAGCAACTGTGTAGCTATGGGATGAGCTGAAAGCTAATCCTACCAGGAAAAAAATGGTTTTTTGTACTGAAGGAGAGGGATGSAGAGAAGAAGCTGAAAAGAGGGCARGACTGCCTCTCTCTTACCAGCAGCCTGTAGTTAGATAGGCTTTGGTCAACAATAAAACAATAGGGCTCCTTCATGTAAGGTATATTTGACTTAAGTACTAGTTTTTGTAAGCCGCGTGTCATTAAGAAATCCAAATCAATAAATTACATAGTAGGTGGATTAAACTGATGCAGTCATAACAAAGTCAATAGACATGTCTAATCAGATGTACAGGGAATGATGGCTGCTTTGCCCTCAATATTTTCATCAARCTATGAAGTGTGTGTGTAAATACATGCTTTTTTATATACACAGTATATAGTTATAGGTATTTATATACATATAAATCTGTTGTGGATCACACAGATGCCAAAGAATTGTAATAAACAACTGAGCAGCTGTATGGAGCAGTTTCAGCTGTTTGTTTCTATGAGTTCAGCTTGTAGGACAAAGTTTTATTCATCTGGGTATAAAATTAAGTGTCTGTGTTCAAGAGTACATAGTGGGGTATCATGGCAAACAAAAAAAAAAGACCAGAAAGGATTTGGGGGAGGAAATTGTAGTAGGAAAACGGTTATATGGGCGCTTCAATTAAAAGATTGAAATTCAGTTAAAAAAACTCACTATTCACCTTTGGCTGTACAATCAGGAGACCAGCACATAGAAGCTGATAGAGGRTTTACATGTGTAGGTAACATATGGGGCATATGTGGGAGACATATGGGAAAGCTGCAGGCAGTCCTAATGGTAATGTTTAAAAAACTTAAACTATTGTGG